ACTCCTTCCTTTCCCCGAAGTTTCCCTTGATCCCCTGGGGAGGCTCGGGCCCCGGGTCCCCAGGGGGTCGCCGGCCGCCAGCTCCAGCCCAAGCCGGGGTCCCCGCGCCCACGCGAGCGGGGGCCGGGCCGGGCTTCCCGCGTGATCCCGCCCCTTGCCTGGGCGCCGGTGGTCAGGTAGTTGCCTGCGCCGCCGCCTCTCCGCCGCGCCCCATACGCCCTCCCAAGGCTTTCTTTGGCGTGGTCCCTTGGCTGCCCTAGCTCCAGCCCTTCTCCCAGCCCGGGTCCCTTAGGCAAGAATGGGTGACTCCCTTTCCAGATGTTACTGCCGGGCCCGAGTCTCAGCATGCCGGTGGCCCCCAGTGGATGCCAGAGGGTGTCCACGTTGTGGCCTGGGGTCAGCCGGAAGTTTAGACGCTCGGAGGCCCAAAGGGAGCTCTGGATGAGGTGTCGACCACATTCCCCTCCGCCTGCTTTGGTCAGTCACCGGACCCTGGACTTTGATCTGTCTCTCTCCTCCAGGTCAGGGCCGCTGATGGTGGTATAGGAAATATCTCAAGGTAGCTGGGCGAGTCCCCTCTTCCCCACCTACATCTTGTCCTCCCCCCCACGCCACCACCACCCTGGCTCCCCTCCCTCATGACGGCCTGGATCCTCCTTCCTGTCAGCCTGTCAGCCTTCTCCATCACTGGCATATGGACTGTGTGAGTAAAGGGGGTGGGGGAAGGACCCAACAAGAGCTTGATGGCACACACAAAGTCCCTTGTAGGATCCAGGGTGGTACCCAGGGTCACTCTGGCTATCTCCAAAGCCTGGCCTGATGCCTGGGCACACTACCCCTTAGGACAAGCTGGCACCACTACTGTCCAGAAGGGTAGCCCTGACAGACATACTCCTAGCTAGGGCAACTTCCAGAGGGCCCCTAGTTGGGGACCAGGCTGCAGGCTCTGGTATGGCATCAAGCCTGCTCAGGGCCACCCCAACCTGAATCCCCAGCAAGAACAAGGCTGAATGGGGCCAGAAATCAAGGGAGAAGAGAAGAGTCAGTGGGGGGTACCTTGGCTGGGAGGGGCATGGGGGCAGGGTGACAGTTTTGCTCCTACAGGTATGCCATGGCCATGATGAACCACCATGTGTGCCCCTTGGAGAACTGGTACGGAGCACTCTGCAGACAGCCTCACTCTAAAGCTCCCTCCATCTCTGTCCCCTCTTGGGCACATGGCTGCCATGAGCCAGAAAGAGACCCTGGGCCTTCACTGCTCTTCTCTGACATTGGTTCCCAGGCATGGCTTTGTGCACATATACCCACTTCCCACCATCTCTTCACCACTCTGACTTCTATTTCAGGCTGGCCCTGGGGAGTGGGCTGTTCCACCCCTGCTGGGAGGTCTGGGACAAGGTCCTCTTCTAGGCGTTAGTCTACGGGCCAAGGGCCTGGGGCCATCTCCTTTCCCCAGTCTACCCCCTGTCCTGCCTGCCAGGTCCTACAATGAGTCCTGCTCTTCTGACCCTGCTGAGCAAGGCAGCCCCAATACCTGCTGCACCCTGGATGATATCCCCTTCATCAGGTAAGTCCTGGAAATTAGGCAGGTCAGGGAGACCTACAACCCTCCCAAACTCCCGGAAAGCCCCTCATGCAAAGGACTGTCCTTGAGTCTCAGGAATAATAACTTTACTATGAGCCACTTAACAGCAATACTGCTTGCCAATTACTATGTGCCAGGCACTCTGCTGAGCGCTTTATATGCGTAATCTCTTTCATCCCTCTCAGCGGTGAGGCAGCTATTGTTTTCACCATTTTACAGGTGAGGAAACTGAGGCTCAGAGTTGTTGCTGTCCAGGTCACACAGCTGGATTTAAGCTCAAGCCCACTGATTGCCCTGCCCAAGTTCTGGCTCAAGGATAGCCAGACCAGCCGCAGGCCTCTGCAAGGAGTCTTGGGGCACTCCCTTCTCTCTCACACACGAGCTCTGCTTTGGGGGGACTCAGCCTGGAGCCAGCCTTACGTGAGGGACGCTGGCCGTTCTCATAAATCAGATGCTTGCCTGCTAAGGAACAGGTGCAGATAAAGCAGGGGAGAGCCAGTGGGCCAGAGTGGGGGCGCACTGTGCACCTGCCTTCTCTCATTCTGTCCTTGCCCCCTCCTCTCAGCAAGTGCGGCACACATCCCCCAGAGAGCTGTCTCTTCAGCCTCATTGGCAATGTGGGTGCTTTCATGGGTGAGTTGTACCCTTAGCCCTGCCTCACCAGCCCAATCCAGCCCCCCTACCCTCCCCCCAGAAAGGCCCAGGAAGCCCTTGCTCAGCACAGCCCAATCAAAGGGCTAAGGCAAGGGGAGCAAAGTCTCTCTTGTTCCTTCAAGGCCAGAGGCTGACTCGCACACAGCGCCCTGCAAGCCAGAGTCTGAGGAAAGCTAGTTCAGCATTCCCTTCTGGCCCTCAGAAGGGGTAGGAGCACCAGAGTGCCTGGGGGAAGCCAGCGAGCTCGCTGGGTGGGGCCAGGCCAGAGGAAGGCGCCGGGCTGGCCCCAGTCGTGCTCTCCTCCCCCAGTGGCCCTGATCTGCTTTCTGCGCTACGGGCAGCTCCTGGAGCAGAACCGGAACTCCCGGATTAACACCACAGCGCTCATCACAGGCTGCACCAACGCCGTGAGCCTCATGATGGTCGGCAACTTTCAGGTGCCCCCTGCCTCTTGAACTTTCCCTAACAGGGCCTGGCTGCCTACACGGGCAGCATCTCAAGGTTGGGAGTTGAGGAAGGAGGGACTGAGAGGCAAAGAGGGAGAGAGGCATAATAAGGGAGTGGCAAAGCCACTCACCAATTAGCCCCTGTCTCTGAGCCCAGGTGGATCATGCCAAGTCTCTGCACTACGTTGGAACTGGTGTGACCTTCCTTGCGGGGCTGCTCTTTGTATGCCTGCACTGTGCCCTCTCCTTCCACGGAGCCATTGCCCCCCTGGACCTGGCTGTGGCCTATCTGCGAAGTGTGTTGGTTGTCATCGCCTTTGTCACCCTGATCCTCAGTATCCTTCCAAGACAGGGCAACCAGAAACTTATCCTCTATCTCAACGCTTCTCTCACCCAAGATGGGGGTGGGGGCCTAGATGCCAGCTAACACTGCCCCTGTCGTCTTCTGCTCCCTCTGGATAGGTAAGGCCTGAGCCTTTAGCCCAACCTAGTTATATGTCTGGGACTGCAGAAGGCGTATTGCCAGGTTCCCACACATCCTTCTGAACATTTCCTTAGCTCCATTCCAGGTGCTGTCTGCTTTTTCCATGAGAGTTCTCAGCTGCAGCACGGGGCAGCCTTGTTCGAGTGGGTGTTTGTCATCGACATCCTCATTTTCTATGGTACCTTCAGCTATGAGTTTGGGGCAATCTCCTCAGACACACTGGTAGCTGCCCTGCAGCCTGCCCCTGGACGGGCCTGCAAGTCCTCTGGAAGCAACAGCACCTGCACCCACCTCAACTGTGCGCCTGAGAGCATCGCCATGATCTGAGGTCTGGGGAGGGTGGCTGGCCCGACTTTCACAGCACCCCACTCCATATCTTCTTTGCATTTATTTTGTATCAAAAATGATTTTGAGAAAGTATTCTGTGGGGATCTGGGCTTCCTCGCTCTTGGAGAAGTAGCCATCCCACATCCACCTGTGCCATAGAGGGGCAGGCCCTGCCAGCTGCCTTGGCTGCACGACCTGCTCCCCTACCCTGTGGTGGTGTTTTGTGTTAACAGTCACCTGTCCTCACTTGCCCAGCCAGCCCTTCAGGTGCCTTCTACTCCCAGTGCCCGAGCCAGACCACTGGGGTTTCCTGCTGCAGGAATTGGGGGCTGGGACCAGCAGGGGGGATAGAGGTCTTGGGGGTGGGGTAAGCATGCCTTAGTCTAAGGGATTGCCCCCCTCTGGACCCACTGAGCTGCACTGGGATTCTTCACTCTGCCCCTCACTTCCTTTAGGGCAAATAACACAGCAGAACCACATGGGTATTTTAGTACTTTTTTTTTATATCTATTAAAAGAATTCTAATTTGCATGTTTGTAGTCTGCTTTGGAGAGTCAGCAAGGGTCTGATCCACACTTTCCCTTAGCAAAGGATAGGAGGAAGCACCTGCCCACCTGGCAGAACCTCAGCGACCCAGCTCTTTAAAAGGATGCCAGGTGCTATCCAAGTACCCCTTCAAGGCGTGGTGCTGACAACACCAACTCAAGGATTAAGACCCCCTTACCAGTCATCTTTAAAAAAAACAAAACAAAACAAATACCCTTCAAGGGCTTGAAACCCTTTTTGGGTTTCAACCTAAACGTCTAAACAGTCTAAAGAAACTGGTCTGATAATCTCACACTTCCTTCCCCAACTTGGAGTCCAGTCCCCCACTTTTTTTCCTTGGTTGGGGGGGGGTTGGGGGCTAATACAGAGAGCAACTTCTCCCTAATACAGGGAGAAGGGGATACAGGCTAGTTTATCAGCTTTAAGTAGCTACTGGGTGCCAGACCCTGACACATTCTTGCTTTCCAACCGTGAACACATGGACTCAAACCCTGGTGGCCAAGTTCATTACCTAGGCTCCACTGCCCTGGTCCAGATACTGGTTCACTAATACTGGTCCAGATGGGCCAGCAGGGAGAGAAATGCAGCCCGATGCATTCTGTGGTTTAGAACCACCTTCCCCAATAGCATTAGGGACCTGGTGGAGGATGCAGAGCCTCTGCCCAGGTCTGTGAGCAATGCAGCCGCAGGGTGGGTAAAGAAACCTTTAATGAGGATTCAGAGTGCAAGAGGAAGACATTGTAGAGGGCCAGCACTCAGCCCCAGCTGCCTCACGTGTACATGGCTCCATGGAGGTTCTCCAGTCGGTGCTGCTGCTGCTGCTTTCGAGCCTGGAGAGAAGAGGGTACAGTGGGCAGGGGCCTGCGGGTGAGGGATAGGGCAGCTATCATGGGGTGGCTCTCACTGTTTTCAGGCCCCTAGCACCTGCATCGCTGTGGCTCTTTCCCCTCACCAAAGTCACTGGGAAGGCAGACAGAACCAGGGATTCTGACGCCTACCCAGGCCTGCTGTGGCGGGGAATGAGAGCAGGGAGGACGGGCTGAGGGAGACCATCATGAGCCCCTCTACTTAACCACCAGCCCCCTACCTTATCTCGTCTGTGCTCCTCATAAGTATCGTCATCGGTGGGCAGCTCATGGCGGCACAAGGGGCAGGAATTTGTCTGGGAAAAGTAGGGCAGTGTTCCAGCCCAGATCTGGTCATCACAAGTTAATAACCCTCCCCTGCTCCCAATTCCCATCCTTACTCCCACCCCTCTTTGATCACTCAACAGTCCATAAACAGAAAGAAGCTTGAGAACTGAGCCCAAGGCAAGGTGAGGGCTGAAAGAAGGGAATCAGTACCTTGCTTAGCCAGGGCAGAATGCAACTGGAATGGAATAGGTGATGGCAAGGCATCTCAATGACGGTCTCCTCCTCCTCAAATTCCAAAAGACACACGGGGCACTTGATCTCTTTAGGAGGGAGTGCTGATCAGAAGAGCTGCTACAGGCCCCACCTCCCAGCTCCCACTCCTGAAGGACACCCTTGCCCCAACCTGCTAGAAAACTGAAGGGGCAGACCACAGTCTGGCTTGGAGAGGGGGTGGGTCTTGCAGACCTGCCCCAAACAGCAAAAGGAATTAGTGTCCTCACCAGCCTGAGAACCCCTGATGACTGTCCTGGGGAGGTTCTCAACCACAGTCTTGGCAGCTGGTGGAGGCAGGTGGTGATCCCAATCTACTACCAACCCCAAGTCTTCAAAGTCCATCCTATTGAAAAGTGACCTGGGAAAGAGGATGCAAGGTCAGAACCAAGGAAAAACCATACTTTCTCTTTGCCCCTGGGCATTAACACATAAATACCCCACCCATCACCTATTCCATTCCAGTTGCATTCTGCCCTGGCTAAGCAAGGTACTGATTCCCTTCTTGTATAGTAATAATAGCTACCCTTAGTAGTTAGTAGATGCTCAGGAGATAAAAAGCACGGTGGGAAATGGTTTATAGCTGCTCTCAGACAACCCGGGCACACAGACTGTTTATTCCCATTTTACACACGAGGCAACAGTCTCGGGTTAGTTACTCAGGCCACGCAGGAATAACCTGGTAGAGCCAGATTCCACGTCGGCAGTGTGGGCTTCCGTGCTTGCTGTTCCTAGAGAATATACACACCTACTCAACATGCGGGCCCCTAACCGGCCCGCATGACCCACCTTTACCGGTACCTCCCAGGGCTGGCAGCTCCCCTGCCCCCAATCCCATAACTCTCCAGCTCCAGTCTTTACCACAATCCAGTTGCCCGCGCCTGCCCACGGATGGCGCAAATTATTGACACACACAATCCCTTCTCCCCAATCTCGCCACCCGGACTAACATTCCAGATTATTCATCTGTCCTCCCTAGAATCCACTGTCCCGCATAATCTCCTTCTCCAGCCAGCCTCAGCCCGGAAACCTGGACCCCACCACCGAACCACGCGCACCGACCTTGCGAGCTCCAGCAGCATGTTGGTTCGGGTCTCCTGCTGGGGGTCCAAAGGCTCGCAATCGTGTTCATCGAAATAGGACGCCATGGCTGCCCCGCAGTCTGACACAGCTTTTGCACCCAGCCCTATGCGTCCTCGAGGCGCTAGCCAATGAACTAGCGAGTTGAGAGAGGATGGCCAATCAGAGTATCCGAGGGGCGGGCATGGGGGGGGAGCTAGTTCAACGCACACAAGCGGAAGTACTAATTCGGCCGCCTCTCATTGGTTTGGATAAACCAGGTGACCAAAGACTAAAGCCAATGGTAGAGGCCGGGGCTGGTGTGGAAACGTTTGTGTTTTAAGTCAGTCAGAGGCTGTAGTAGATTCCCGAGAATTTCTGGCCTGGTCGCGTCGGTAGTGCCCTGAGAAGCCAAGTGTCTGGGCCGTGAGGGTCCTTGATCTGCCCTGAAGCTCAGAGGGTCTCGGCAGTGCAGATTCTTAAGGTCTCTCCGAGAGACGGAGGCGCTGGCCCTGGGGCTCAGGGTTCTACGAGCCGGGGTGTCAGGAGGCTTCCCGCTGCTCTGCCTCCGTCCCCGCCGGGCACTTTGCCCCGCTGCCCTCTACATGGTTCGGGAGTTCGTGCTTGATCCCACTCCCCACCCCCGGAAAAAAAAAAAAATTCCTGTGTATTTCTTATGTGTTAGGCATAATAATAAAGAGTGGGGCTAACCTCCCTAACCGAGAGAGGGAAGGTCTCTGCTGGGGAACCTGTGGCCTCACCTGCTCATGGAACTGTGTGACCCTTAGCCTATTGCTCAACCTCATCCCTAGCTTCTGTAAAACTAGTGGCTTGAACTAAATACTGTAAGTTTGCATCCTTGGCTACAAATAAATCCCCTGACGTGGGGGAGGGGCTACTGGGAGAGAGGTATCTTTAGAAAATACCCCCTATGTCTGATATTTACCCTGGAAGACTCTGATGTAACTCATCTACGGTGGGGCCTGGGCAATGGCATTTGTGTAAGTTCTGCAGGTGATTCTAATGTAAGCCAGGCTTGGGATCCACTGCACTCAGTGATTTGGATGATAGCCACTATTTGGCATCTAGAAATGTTACATTAATGGATATTTTACACACAATATCAATAATCCTCAGAATATTCCTGGGAGCTAAACATGATTATGCCCTTTTTATCTATCTGAAACCTGAGTCTCAAAAGTGGCTTGCACAAATTCACACAGCCTGTAAGTGGTGTTGCTGACTAACTGCAGGGAGGAGTGCTTTCCTCCCTCTCTCCCAGGACAGGAAGATGGTAATCAGCGAAGTGATAGTAACAAACTCTATAAGGAGTAGAGCTCTATACAACTCTCAGGGCTTGTTCTTGTTTCTATCAATAGCCCATACTCTACCTAGCAAGAAACTGCTTATTTTACACACTTGACCCTGGATTCCTCTTGCCACTCGCACTTGACTTTCAGCTGCAGTTAAGTAGCCCAGGCAGAGGCTGCCCTGCTTCCATAGTCTTGGTGAGGGCTTCTTCCTTCTTCCTTGCCTTTGCACAGTGATCTTTGCTGTGGCCCTGAAGGCACTGCTTGCCTGGCCCTGTGTGGCCCTGGAGCTTTGAAAAGCCAGCATTCTTTCCTGCAGGGCAAACTCCAGGCCGCCCATTGTGACCCTGCATTACAGCATCATAGAAGCCCTCCCCATCTGCACTGCCACCTGCCCCATCTGTGATCTGGTGTAAAGCCTGAGGAAAAACGTGGGCAAGGAATTTGGAAAAGAGGAAGTGTGCAGAGGGGGGAAAGTCTATCTGAAGGTGTGAGCCTCATTAAAAAAAATCTTTGGGGCTGGCCAGTTAGCTCAGTTGGCTAGAGAGTCATGATAACACCACGGTCAAGGCCAGCCCATGGCTCACTAAGGATAGTGCGGTGCTCATAGCACCAAGGCCATGGGTTCGGATCCCTATATAGGGATGGCCGGTTGGCTCACTTGGGAGAGCGTAGTGCTGACAACACCAAGTCAAGGGTTAAGATCCCCTTACCGGTCATCTTTTCAGAAAATAAAAAAATAACACCACAGTCCAGGGTTCGATCTCCATACCAGCCACCAAAAAGAAGAAAAAAAAAAAATAATACAAATCTTTCCATGACATTTTAAAAAATCCTTGTATCCTTGTATACTCCATATCTCTTAGATTTTCTTTTCTGCTTATCTTTCTATTTTCTCTTTACTATTTCCCCTGGGAAAATTTCTCAATCTAAGCTTCTAATTCTCTGTGTCATTCTTTAGCTAGCTATCCCATTCCAATAATTATATACTTTATAACTAACTTTTACATGTTTTATTAAATCTGAGCACCCCCAAGATGTTACAAAAATAATAGATTTCATTGTCAGGGAAACAGGCTCAGAAGGGAAGGACTGATTCAAGGGTCTGGTTTGGGGGCTGTTTTGTCCTTGCACCCACACTTCAGAAAGGTCTGTCTGTGTAGGGTTGGATCAAGTAGGGAAGAGAGCAGAAGGGGCCCCCTCCTGGGAGTGGAGTCCTTTGAAAGGTGGGCTTTCTAAGTGGCCCCAAGAGTGGAGGTAAAGTGGGATTAACCAACTTGGGGAACTTCGGACACACTCATATATACATACACACACACACCAGCTTTTTAACCAAACAGCAGCTTTTACTGAGCTCCAGGTGGGACTGGCCTGGCATGGCCAGTGCAGCAGGTTGCCCTTGAAGGCCAGTCTGTGGCATGATGGGAGATACGGGGGTACACACATCAGGGCTGCCCTTCAGCGCTCACTGTGATGGCTCAGACAGGAGCAAACGCCAAGGTTCTCTGGAGACGAGAATTGGCCAGTGCAGCCATTCAACCTCTCCCCCAGGCCCAGCTGGGTCAGTCTCCTGGCCCTGAGGCAGTGCCTGCATCCTGGGCCTGTGGAGCACTACTGTCCACACTGCTCTGTGGAAGAAAGATGGCCAGCAGCACTATCAGGATGATGAGCAGGCCACCTCCCACCACCAGCCCCAAGTAGATCCAACAACGGGTGTTCTCCCAGCGCTTCTTCTGGGCCAAGGTCTTGGTTGTCTTGCTGAAGGCTGAGCTCTGTGGACACCCCCAGACACATGGATGAAGTTAGCAGATCCCCTAGAGCCTCAGAATCAGGTCCTCCCAACTCCATCCCAGCAAGGCCTCGTCTCTATCCTGTCTGCCCCTTTGTCCACACAATCTGCCCTAGGGCCCTCTCAGCCTGACTCCTGATCTCAGACACGGGTGTAGCCCTTGACTTTCAGCCCTACTAGCTCATCCCCAGTTAACAATGTCAGTTCTCACCTTTAGGAAGGTCCACAGCTTCAAACCAAGGACTTCCTACTTTGTGAGGTCTACCCATTGCATATCTAGGCTAGGGGTGCCTCAGGAAAACCAGAGGCCCTGCATTGGCCCTCAAACTGGCCTCAGCCCCCACAAAGGGCCTGGAGACCCAGAGCACAGCCTAAGAGCTCCCTCTGAGGGTTTCACCAAGCCTCTCCCCTCCCCTCCCTGCTCCCCAGCCTCACACCATATCCAGGAGTTGGTCTGAACGCTGCTCCAGCTCTGCCAGCTTCCCATCGCGCTCCAGGACCTTGTCGAAGTTGTTGAGCATGATTTCCGTCACCTCGTCTGCCTGCTGCTGGCACCGCTCCAACTCCTTCCCTGCCTGGGCACCAACCCCAGTCAGGGAGGCATGAGACCCCCACCTGGCCCTATCTGGCCCCAAGACCTAGAAGCCCCCTTCCCCCACTGTGTGTGGGTACAGTGTATGACTAACAGCATCCCTCATGTAAGGGTATGGCATGTGCAGAGTGAAGGGCTGGCCTTCTGGGTGGGTACAGCTCACCTGTGGTCTCACAGGCTCTTCCCCTTGCCCAACAAGGCAGGGACTAGATCAGCCCTGGCTTCCAGTATCTCAGCTTCCTCTAAGCTGCCCCAGGGTGGGACCTTCCCAGGAACCCACCCTCCCACAAAGCAGACACTGCTCACCTGCTCCAGGATGGCCTCTACCCAATGCACACCTGTACTGTGGCTTCCCACTGGCATGGGGAGGCAGCAAAGAACAGAAAACTAAGCTGAGTGGCTAGAAACCAGACAGGGAGGAAATCTACCCCACAGGCCTAGAAAGGTAATTTTGGACCAGCATACATCACATCACAGACTCTGCCTAACACCCCTCCCAAACTGAGAAGCTCAGATCTCCCTACTGGGCCTTTGACCAGTTCTGCCTTCTGGCCTGACCCCACTCCCCACATCATTTCCTACAGCTGATCCCTCCCTGCCTGGGAACCACATCCCTCCTGGCCTCTGACCTCCAGACTTCCAGTTAGCCAGGGTCTTTACTGGGGTCCAACTCACAGAGATGAGACCAACTCTGAGAGTTCCCAGCCTGGGCAGAAGCCTCACCTAACAAAAAAGACCCAGCTCACTTTAGAGAACTGGGAAGGGAGGTGCAGGGTCCAAACTGGGGCAGGTTGAGAGGACAGGGGAGAGAGACAAAGTCTGGGTCATAAGCAAGAAGGGCACTGGGCATTGGGTGCATGGGACTGAGAGAGACCCAGGGCGGGAGGCCCTGGTATGAGCTGGAGACCAGAAGCAGGCCCAGGGACATTTCTGGGAGGTGAATACCACAGGATTAGCAAACCACAGCAACTCCCTCCTCTCAGCCTAGTCCTCCACAGCCCATCCCTGTTCTCATCTGCTCCTCACAGAAAGGACGCCAAGCTCCCTTTTCCCCCAGCCCACATCACCCATTGTCTGCAGCAGACATCTTGGCACTTGACTGAATTCCCCCTAAAACCACAGAGCTTAAGTGTTGGAAGGGATCTGGTCGTCACAGAGAACCACCTCCTACTCAGGCAAGAATCCTCCTTCAGGATCCTTGCAGCTGCCTTGCACACAGCCTCCAAACATTCCCATTGTATGAGTACTATCTCCCCAACAGGACCACAAGCTCCCACAGGGAGGGCAGGGACAAGTGCCCTACCTCCATCTGCCATCATCCCAGGGGCCTGGGAGGCCAGCACAGTGCTGACCATTGCAAGGACTCAGTGAGTGGGTCAGTTGCATTATAGCCTATCCAAAAGCAACTCTTATTCTCAAGAGATGTTCTCCCAGTGTGTTTATCTAGCCCAGCAGGAGTTTCAAGGGGCAGGCACCTGAAACCCAAATAGGTCAATATTTACCCATGAGCTAGAAAAGCAACCTGCTTGGGGAGGGGGGCAGGCAAACCACTGGGAGGTAGGGGAGTGACATACGCTCACAGGCTGGGGGAAGTAGTAACCGGTGGCCACAGAAGAATGATGAAGACAGTAGAGAAGCTGTACTCTTTCTACCTTTTCCTGAGCCAGCCATCATCACCACTATCATCACTACTACATTATTCAACAAGCCTTCATTATTCGGCCCTTTGAACTTCCCCACATTCACACAGCTCAAGGCAAAAACTTGAGCTGGGGGGCCGGCCCGTGGCTCACTCGGGAGAGTGTGGTGCTGATAACACCAAGGCCCCGGGTTCGGATCCCACATAGGGATGGCCGGTTCGCTCGCTGGCTGAGCGTGGTGCTGACAACACCAAGTCAAGGGTTAAGATCCCCTTACCGGTCATCTTTATAAAAAAGAAAAAAAAAAAAACTTGAGCTGGGACAAAGATTCGAAAATGAAAATCACTACTAGACATTGGTGGGATGCTGGATGTTATTTTTTCTATTCTGAATGCTACAGCTGTTGTTATCTTATTTTCCTACAAGGGGTGATATTAGGTCACATTCTCTGGAGCACTGACTGTGCCTCCAGCTGCAATCTGGAGCAGTCTCCCCCTCACTGCAAAGCCGGGCCTGTTTGGAGCCAAGATGGGCCCAGGCCTAAAAGAACACATTCGCTCCGGGGAACACAGAGCCCTCAGAATCAAATCTTGGGCCATCCTTGGCCCCACTCAACCACAGGAAAAATGACACTATAAGGGCCGGCCCGTGGCTCACTCGGTAGAGTGCGGTGCTGATAACACCAAGGCTGCGGGTTCGGATCCCATATAGGGATGGCCGGTTTGCTCACTGGCTGAGCGTGGTGCTGACAACACCAAGCCAAGGGCTGAGATCCCCTTACCGGTCATCTTTATAAAAAAATAAAATAAAATAATAACACTATATGCACAGGTCTGCTGGTACCATAAGAAATGAAGTACTAGGGAAAGTGGAAGGAGGAAGCAACCAATGGGCAAGGGCCAGGCTGCCCTGTGTCACATTGTAACTCAGCATAGTGCCTGGCAGACGGTAATCACGAGATCAATATTTTCTGAATAAATTGTGCCTGTTCTTAAGGAGATCACTGTCCTGCTGGGGAAGAGACAGATGTGATACAATTAGAGAAGAGTAAAAAGTAACACTATGAGGTACAAATAGTAAGTGTGTAGCCACCCACGGAGAGGGTGAGATTGGATGGGTGGGGTGACTCCTTGGAGGACGGGGTCAAGCAGAGGAGACCAGCTTACAGGGAATGATAAAACAGGAACGAGCGCAGGTTTTGAGCCTAGGCAACAGAGAAGTGCTTCAGGATAACTTCCCTATTAATGATAGAAGGGCATGGATTGAAGTGAGAAAAGTCAGGGCAGAGAGGCCAGCCAGACAGGGAAGAAGTGCAAGGGTGTGAGGAGGAGATGCCTGCCAGGCCTGGGGTGGGGTGGGGTGGGTGGAATTGGGAGACCAGTAGCTGAGAGTACAGAGAGGAAGGGTGCGCAAGGGGCATTTCTGAGACCTGCCAGGGGCTTGCAGGGCTTGGGGTTTTGAGCCTGGGGGGGAGGAGTAGTTGTGTCATTGGCAGACAGAGGGTGGCAGTTATACAGGAAATGTTCTTGACAGACCATTATCCTCTGTATAGAATATCCACCTGCAACATTAAAATCTCCTCTCAGGTTTTTCTAGGCTCAGTGCCCTTGGTTCCTACTCTGGAAACACAGCTCTCAAAAACTTCCCTGTCCTGATTCTCCTTGACTCCCCTCTCGCCTGTTTAGTATCCAACAAACCCAGTTCCAGCTGTTGTGGGATGCATGGACGGGTGCAGGTACTGGTGTGGCATCTCCCTAGGTCAGCACTCAGTGGAACTCAGAGACTAAGAGAGGGCTCTGAGGTGCATCCCTCTGTTCAGATCTTGCCTCTGCCACTCACCAGCTGAGCGACTAAGACCGAGGAGGTGACCTTTCTGACCTGCCACTTCCTCCACAAAGTGGTGATAATAGTAACACCTACCTCATAAGATCAGTTAAGGATTATGTGACATATTGTAAATAAAAAGCTTAGCACAGTGCCTGACACATACTAAATACTCAATAAAAAAGAGCTATTATTATTGATGTAGCCAAAATTTCCTTAGCTGTTTTTTGGGTTTTTTTTTTTTTTTTCAGTCAGATCTCAAGAACTGTACGATACTTGTGGTCAATAAAACCTCTATCACTTGGCTAGAGTGTGGTATCAGGTCAAAGGTTCAGATCCCCATACCAGCTAGCTGCTAATAAATAAATAAGTAAATATATCCTCTAAGATAATTTTACAAAATGCACAGCCAAGTAAAGTCTTCCCTATTGCAAACTTGTGCATGTGTTTCTCTTTTTTAAATTTTTTTCTTTTACTCTTTTTGGGTGTGGACTCAGGAAATATTGTATTTTAATTGATGCATAATAATTGTATGCACTTAATTGTTTCTAACCTAAATACAGAACTTTACATGGCCTTTGATAACCACCATCTAGTTTATTTCCATCAGGTGTTGCAGGCTGTTGAGGTTTCACATTTTGAGTAGTAATAGCCACCATTCAATGGGCACATACTGTGAGCTAAGCACTGTGCTATTCATTCGCTTTATCACATTTAATCCTCAAACAACCCATTGAAGAAAGTATTAGTATCCCAGTTTTACAGAAAACTTTGGCCTAGAGGTGTTAAACCATCTGTCCAAGATCACAGAGCCAGTGAGTAAAAGATCTGAGAGTTGAACCAACATAGACTCCAGGGATCACACCCTTAACCCCTGTGCTAAACTAGATGCAGGCGAAGGGAGTTACAGTGCTTTTGCTGCTGGCTAAAGACTCACCAGACCTTTTGATGCTGTCAACTTAACTTGTGTGCCTATGAGTGAGGCCTGTGACTCAAAACACAAAGTCTTTGGAGAGAGGACAATGTACAAGATGAATGAATTCAAGTCATTACTCATTCAATTTCCATCTTTCCCATCACTGTTTTGTTCCTACTCTGTCCTCTATACCTTGTCTGGCCGAAAGGAAAGACCCAAGAAATCCTTGTTGACTGAATGAGTCACAGAGAAGAGGAACAGAGAATGGAAAGGAAGAAGGACTAGGTAGGGAAAGCAGATGGGAAGAAGGAAGGCAAAGAGCTGGGGGACAGGAAAAGGGGCAAGAGTAGTAGAAAGGACAAAAGGATGGAGCTAGGAGATGGGTGGGTGGAGGAGAGAGATCAATGTACCCTCCCCAGGCTCTCATCCACTATTGCCTCACATGCACCTGTGAGAGCCCAAGGTTTTCCAATACCTGCCAGTAAACTGTTCTGCCCTCAGCCTTCATTTTGTAGGCTCCTCTTCTTTCCAAGAGCTAAGGGCCAGCTAGAAGCCCAAACCTAGCCCGGCCTGATCCCTTGCCCTGCATGTGGGAAGTGGGCTCCGGGCTCTGTTCCATTCTCAGGGCCTCTTCTGTTTCCTGGCGTAGCCTCAGAGTGGCCTCAGAGCTCACTGCTACCTTCCTGCCCCACTTCCTCTTCCTGACACCAGTTCCCTGGAGATAAACCCATCCAGGCGTCACAACCCCTAGCCACACCACATCCATCACACTCTGCCAGCTTCTCCAAGACAGAATTATAATGTGCCAAGCCTGCTTCCTGCCTAGCCCATCTTCCCAGGAGCCCCTGGGGAGGGGAAACTGGCACCAGCTGTTCCTGACACCTTTGCCTTGGAGATGGCAAGTAAGTACAGAGGCCAGAGCCTGCAGCAGGAGTAGAGGTGACTCAACTCAGGAATGTATCACTAGATAGGGGTTAGGAGGGAGTCAGGCCTATGCCACACTCGGATAATGTAGGTGGAACTCTTAGAATATACAAACTCCTTTCCCTTTCACTGGGGGAAAGGAAATTGCCTTCCAACCCCCACCATGGGGCTGGAACGGCCTCTAACACCCCATCTACTCAGGTTTCTAACTCCTGGGCCAGGCTTGGCTCCTCACAGCTCCAGGAAGTGCTGAAGAGGTCATCACATTACCTACTACTTAGCATTGGGTTCTGAGTGCCAGGCGGGTCTCTGCCACTGTATCTCCTTTAACCCCTCAAGGACCCAGGGAGGCAGGTATTGCTGACCCCACTTCACAGATGCAGAAAAGGAGGCTCAAGGGGGTTAAGTGCCTTGCCCGGAGCCACAGAGCTGGGATCCCAGCCTGGAGTCTGACTCCAAAGCCGGTGCTCTGAACCGCTTCGTTCCAGGGGAATGGGAAACCCGGACCCTGCTCACTCGGCGCGGGGCAGCCTGGACGGGCTGCGCGCCTCACTTTCCCTCCCAAACTGCGCGCGGGAGCAGTCCCGGAGGACGCCCCTGCCCTCGGACTTTGGACTTCTGTCTCCGGCCCCCCACGCTCGCCCTCTGCCCCTCGTCGGGCCGACCGGCCGCGCCCGGGCCCTCACCATCGCCGCCGCCGCCGCCGCCG